GGCCTGTTTGGTGACGATATCATTCTCAGCGAGTCTAGAGCAACCCCCCCGCATCGCACAGCCCTCCCACAGACATGTGATGACGGGATTGCAGGAACGCGGGATCCAGGAACTGCGCATGCGTACGGTAGATGTACGTGGGCGGTGTGGGTATGCATGGCTGGCAGGGAGGCGGGTCACATGGTCGCATGCATGCTCAGACGGCTAAGATGCAGGTCCTTTAGTCCTTTGCGCTTGCCCATGCACGCGCAGAGTGTGGCAGGGGCCCGGGTGAAACTGCTCGGTGCATGCGTGGATGGACGGCTGGGAGACGAGTGCTAACCGTGTTGCTTGTCTTTCCCTTTGTGCATGCGCAGGCGGCGTGGTAGGGGATCCTAGCACACTATGCATGCAGCGCACAGAGGGCTGGGACGCGAGCCCAGGTGTGGGCTGTGCACGCGCAGCAGGTTCCTGGAGGGCGGCAGCACTGGAGTATCCGCACGTACCATGCGTGGCGTGCTGAGGAGGTACGACCCCGAAAGGGTTCAGCAAGCGGGATAACGTGACACAGCGCTTTCCAGCAGGGCTCTTGCCGTACTTTGGCGCAGAAAATCGGCTGAGAAACACCCCCGCACGGCCCTACTTGGGCACGGCGAGGCCTTGCCGTACATCCAGACCGATCCTAGCATCGGAGGTGCAGCCCATGTCATCAGCCATCCTTGCGTCACTAGTCCAGTGGTTAGGATATTTGCCTTCCAAGCAAAAGAGCGGGGTTCGATTCCCCGGTGACGCATCGTCGACGTTTTGGCCGCGCTGAAAGGGTTAGCACGGGCCTTTTGTGGTGGCAGCGACCACAGCCGCATCAGGGGCTCGGCGATGAATGCGCCGGACGGCCTGTTTGGTGACGATATCATTCTCAGCGAGTCTAGAGCAACCCCCCCGCATCGCACAGCCCTCCCACAGACATGTGATGACGGGATTGCAGGAACGCGGGATCCAGGAACTGCGCATGCGTACGGTAGATGTACGTGGGCGGTGTGGGTATGCATGGCTGGCAGGGAGGCGGGTCACATGGTCGCATGCATGCTCAGACGGCTAAGATGCAGGTCCTTTAGTCCTTTGCGCTTGCCCATGCACGCGCAGAGTGTGGCAGGGGCCCGGGTGAAACTGCTCGGTGCATGCGTGGATGGACGGCTGGGAGACGAGTGCTAACCGTGTTGCTTGTCTTTCCCTTTGTGCATGCGCAGGCGGCGTGGTAGGGGATCCTAGCACACTATGCATGCAGCGCACAGAGGGCTGGGACGCGAGCCCTAGGTGTGGGCTGTGCACGCGCAGCAGGTTCCTGGAGGGCGGCACTGGAGTATCCGCACGTACCATGCGTGGCGTGCTGAGGAGGTACGACCCCGAAAGGGTTCAGCAAGCGGGATAACGTGACACAGCGCTTTCCAGCAGGGCTCTTGCCGTACTTTGGCGCAGAAAATCGGCTGAGAAACACCCCCGCACGGCCCTACTTGGGCACGGCGAGGCCTTGCCGTACATCCAGACCGATCCTAGCATCGGAGGTGCAGCCCATGTCATCAGCCATCCTTGCGTCACTAGTCCAGTGGTTAGGATATTTGCCTTCCAAGCAAAAGAGCGGGGTTCGATTCCCCGGTGACGCATCGTCGACGTTTTGGCCGCGCTGAAAGGGTTAGCACGGGCCTTTTGTGGTGGCAGCGACCACAGCCGCATCAGGGGCTCGGCGATGAATGCGCCGGACGGCCTGTTTGGTGACGATATCATTCTCAGCGAGTCTAGAGCAACCCCCCCGCATCGCACAGCCCTCCCACAGACATGTGATGACGGGATTGCAGGAACGCGGGATCCAGGAACTGCGCATGCGTACGGTAGATGTACGTGGGCGGTGTGGGTATGCATGGCTGGCAGGGAGGCGGGTCACATGGTCGCATGCATGCTCAGACGGCTAAGATGCAGGTCCTTTAGTCCTTTGCGCTTGCCCATGCACGCGCAGAGTGTGGCAGGGGCCCGGGTGAAACTGCTCGGTGCATGCGTGGATGGACGGCTGGGAGACGAGCTGCTAACCGTGTTGCTTGTCTTTCCCTTTGTGCATGCGCAGGCGGCGTGGTAGGGGATCCTAGCACACTATGTATGCAGCGCACAGAGGGCTGGGACGCGAGCCCTGGTGTGGGTTGTGCACGCGCAGCAGGTTCCTGGAGGGCGGCACTGGAGTATCCGCACGTACCATGCGTGGCGTGCTGAGGAGGTACGACCCCGAAAGGGTTCAGCAAGCGGGATAACGTGACACAGCGCTTTCCAGCAGGGCTCTTGCCGTACTTTGGCGCAGAAAATCGGCTGAGAAACACCCCCGCACGGCCCTACTTGGGCACGGCGAGGCCTTGCCGTACATCCAGACCGATCCTAGCATCGGAGGTGCAGCCCATGTCATCAGCCATCCTTGCGTCACTAGTCCAGTGGTTAGGATATTTGCCTTCCAAGCAAAAGAGCGGGGTTCGATTCCCCGGTGACGCATCGTCGACGTTTTGGCCGCGCTGAAAGGGTTAGCACGGGCCTTTTGTGGTGGCAGCGACCACAGCCGCATCAGGGGCTCGGCGATGAATGCGCCGGACGGCCTGTTTGGTGACGATATCATTCTCAGCGAGTCTAGAGCAACCCCCCCGCATCGCACAGCCCTCCCACAGACATGTGATGACGGGATTGCAGGAACGCGGGATCCAGGAACTGCGCATGCGTACGGTAGATGTACGTGGGCGGTGTGGGTATGCATGGCTGGCAGGGAGGCGGGTCACATGGTCGCATGCATGCTCAGACGGCTAAGATGCAGGCCCTTTAGTCCTTTGCGCTTGCCCATGCACGCGCAAAGTGTGGCAGGGGCCCGGGTGAAACTGCTCGGTGCATGCGTGGATGGACGGCTGGGAGACGAGCGCTAACCGTGTTGCTTGTCTTTCCCTTTGTGCATGCGCAGGCGGCGTGGTAGGGGATCCTAGCACACTATGCATGCAGCGCACAGAGGGCTGGGACGCGAGCCCTGGTGTGGGCTGTGCACGCGCAGCAGGTTCCTGGAGGGCGGCACTGGAGTATCCGCACGTACCATGCGTGGCGTGCTGAGGAGGTACGACCCCGAAAGGGTTCAGCAAGCGGGATAACGTGACACAGCGCTTTCCAGCAGGGCTCTTGCCGTAGTTTGGCGCAGAAAATCGGCTGAGAAACACCCCCGCACGGCCCTACTTGGGCACGGCGAGGCCTTGCCGTACATCCAGACCGATCCTAGCATCGGAGGTGCAGCCCATGTCATCAGCCATCCTTGCGTCACTAGTCCAGTGGTTAGGATATTTGCCTTCCAAGCAAAAGAGCGGGGTTCGATTCCCCGGTGACGCATCGTCGACGTTTTGGCCGCGCTGAAAGGGTTAGCACGGGCCTTTTGTGGTGGCAGCGACCACAGCCGCATCAGGGGCTCGGCGATGAATGCGCCGGACGGCCTGTTTGGTGACGATATCATTCTCAGCGAGTCTAGAGCAACCCCCCCGCATCGCACAGCCCTCCCACAGACATGTGATGACGGGATTGCAGGAACGCGGGATCCAGGAACTGCGCATGCGTACGGTAGATGTACGTGGGCGGTGTGGGTATGCATGGCTGGCAGGGAGGCGGGTCACATGGTCGCATGCATGCTCAGACGGCTAAGATGCAGGTCCTTTAGTCCTTTGCGCTTGCCCATGCACGCGCAGAGTGTGGCAGGGGCCCGGGTGAAACTGCTCGGTGCATGCGTGGATGGACGGCTGGGAGACGAGCGCTAACCGTGTTGCTTGTCTTTCCCTTTGTGCATGCGCAGGCGGCGTGGTAGGGAATCCTAGCACACTATGCATGCAGCGCACAGAGGGCTGGGACGCGAGCCCTGGTGTGGGCTGTGCACGCGCAGCAGGTTCCTGGAGGGCGGCACTGGAGTATCCGCACGTACCATGCGAGCCGTGCTGAGGAGGTACGACCCCGAAAGGGTTCAGCAAGCGGGATAACGTGACACAGCGCTTTCCAGAAGGGCTCTTGCCGTACTTTGGGGCAGAAAATCGGCTGAGAAACACCCCCGCATGGCCCTACCCGGGCACGGCGAGGCCTTGCCGTACATCCAGACCGATCCTAGCATCGGAGGTGCAGCCCATGTCATCAGCCATCCTTGCGTCACTAGTCCAGTGGTTAGGATATTTGCCTTCCAAGCAAAAGAGCGGGGTTCGATTCCCCGGTGACGCATCGTCGACGTTTTGGCCGCGCTGAAAGGGTTAGCACGGGCCTTTTGTGGTGGCAGCGACCACAGCCGCATCAGGGGCTCGGCGATGAATGCGCCGGACGGCCTGTTTGGTGACGATATCATTCTCAGCGAGCCTAAAGCAACCCCCCCCCGCATCGCACAGCCCTCCCACAGACATGTGATGACGGGATTGCAGGAATGCGGGATCATTCATTCATTCGCCTCCTTTGCACTCTTCGGACGGTCCCCATGGGCGTTACAGCCATTCCATACCACCCTGTCTTGTGGCGCTTCACCCCTCACCCTGCCCGTCCAGTACCATCTTGCCCTTTCCAGCGTGCCTGGACCGGATTCAGACCATCTTATACCCTACTTCTCGTCTCAAAAGGACATCCATCCACTCACCTCCCCCCCTCCTGACCCGCCTTCCCGCCTCATACCCTCATGCCTCATCCCTACCCCTCCTTCCCCCCCGCCTTCCCCCTCACCTCCCGCCCCTCCCGTCCCTCTCCCCCCTCCACCCACCCCAAATCCTGATCCTCATTGCACACCACCTCATACCCGTCCCTGTACCCCAACGCCCCCGCAGCAGGCGGCGTCCTCCTTCCCCCTCCCCCTCCCCCACCCCCTCCCTCCTTCCACACCTTCATCTCCCTCCCGCCCGACTCCACATCCGCCCCAGTCTCCAACCCCTTCCCTGCCTCTCCTCCTCCTCCGCCCCCCACGCCCACTCCCTCCCCCTCCTCCGCTGCCTCCGAGTCCACCTTATGCGGCAGCAGCCACAGGAAAGGCGCGGGCGCCATGGTGGCGGCCACGCACGTAGCCACCAGCGCAAAGAGGTGGTCGTAGTTGTCCGAGGTGACGCCGTACAGCTTGGTGAGTCCGGCTCCCAGCGCACCGCCGGTGATGGAGCCGCAGTTGAGTACGGACATGAGGGTGGCGAACAGGGTGGCCTGAGGGGGGGGAAGAGGGGGGGAGGGGTCGGAAGACAGACCAAAGCACGCATGGGAGATTAGGTGGGAAGGAAAAACACAAGGTGGGAAGGAGGCGGCAGGGAGGCACAAGGGTAAGGAAGGGTTGGCGGGTTAGGGTGGCTGGAGAAGGGGAGAGGAGGTAGGAGGAGGAGGGAGGTGAAGAGGAGGAGACAGCTGTTAACGGGTGAAGTGCCAACCCGGCCTCTCATCTCCCGCTAGATACACCTCCAGTCCAGGTTGCCCCCTTCCCTCCTCACCTCCACCCCAGCGGGACACAGCCGTGCAGCGAGCACCAGGATGGGCATGAAGGACACCTGACCCAGTACCTGGGGGCGAGGGGATGGAGGGAGGTGAGCGGGCGGAGGGGGAAGGGAGGTGAGCGGTGGGTGGCGGTGGGTGGGAGGTTCGGGATGGGGAGAGGAGGGCTGCCGTACGGAGGGAATGAAGGCGCCATCAGGATAAGGGTAGATCCATTTTCCACGAAACAGTCGGCGAAACAGCCCGTGAAAATGCGAGCGTGTTGTACAGACGTTCAATAGTTAAAGGCGCACCCTTGGCGTCACCCCCCTCACCGCGAGTTCCACATGACAGTCCCGCACGACGCTCCCACCCACCCAGCCCCTCTCTCCCCTCCCGTCCCCCCTCCCCCTCGCCCCCGCACTTATCTTTAATCTTCCCCCCTCACCGTGAGCACCACCGAGTCCCCCAGCACGAACAGCTGGTCCGACACGCCCCACGCCACGTTGAGTCGCGACACCAGCACCAGCTGGGTGCTGCTCAGCGCGGTACCCACCAGCATGGCCCACCACAGCATGCGGCGCAGGGGGACGGACTGGGGGCGGGAGGGGGGAGGGAAGTGGAAAGGCAGGGAACGGCGGCTTAAGACGGGAAGAGCTGTTTCAGCGGTGGCAGGAAACTAACAACGGGCGACGAAGGCGCTGCTGAGCATGCAGGCGAGCACGCATGGGGTTGGATGGGGGACCGAGGACCCCCCAAGGGATGATTCATCGGGTGTACATGCCAATGCGGCAACGTGCCAGTGTTTTGCGGCCAGCCCTTGCTCACCCCCACCCCCCCCACCCCTCCCCGCCCCTCCGAATGCGCTCACTGCATGACTCGGGATTCGGGATTGGGACTGTGTTGTTGCACTTATTTATAATTTGATCCCCCCCACACCCCCGCCCCACCTTGAGCCAGCTGTTGTACACCCACACACCCGCCAGCGAGGCCAGCGATGCACCCAGCCGCACCCGCCCCAGGAACTCGGGCGTGAAGCCCAGCTGGGTGGTCTGGAAGTAGAACATGGCGGAGTCGGCGGAGGGGGTGGCCTGGGGGGAAAATGGCGGGGGGGGAGGGGGAAAAAGAAATTCCAATGTGTGATGTGGGGGAGGGAGGATGTGGGTAAGGATGGAGGAGAGAGGGAAGAAGTGTCGGGAGTAAGGGTTTGGAAAGCCACAGCGGTGAAGCTGTAATGGGTAAATGTGAAAGTGAAGTGACGCGAGGGAAAGGAGGGGTATGGAATGTCGGGGACGTGTTGAGCTGTTCTGATTATTCCACGTGACGACAACAAACAGGCACAGTGATTAGCTGATGACCCATGGGTCCGTGAGCCACAACCTCTCTACGCAAACCATATCAGCACAAAACAACATGTGAACCTATCCCAACTGCTTGCTCTTGTTTTACTCAACTACACGACAACAACAACAACAATAACCCCTATACCTCTCCTCCCTCCTCGCCCCGCCCACCCACCTGCCACAAGAATACAAAGATTGCGGGCATCAAGATATCCTTCTGCCGTACAGCCCCCCACAGCGCAGCACCCTGCGCCCGCAACCGCTGTACGACAAGCTGCGATCTGCTATTGCTGCTACTGCCGCTGGTGTCGTGGGGGTTACTGCTGCTGTTACTGCCCGACATGCCGACGACAGCAGAGGCGGCGGTGGTGGCGGCGGTACCCGACCCCCCCATCGGCTTCTCCTCTATGAGGAGCGAGGAGGCGCACACCACGAGCGGGAAGATGGCTGTCAGTCCAAACACGAAGCGACAGCCGTACTCCTGTGTAGTACGGAAGGAAGGAAGGAAGGGAGGAGCGGAGGAAGGGGGCAAAGCGGCGCGCCAGGTGGCATCAGGGGTGATACACCCGGTCGGAGTGTACGACGCTTAGGCGAACAAGGTCGCGCACAAGCAAGCAAAGGAGTGTACGAACGCACAAGATGCCTGAGACCCCCGGCACCACCACCGGGGCTTCTACCCAGCAGCAGCAGCAGCAGGACATGCAGTTCTACTCCTCACGCGCACGCCACCTGCCATCTGCCACCTGCCACCTGCCACCTGCCACCTGCCAGGGTTGCTACGCAACTCAACCGACTACCCACCCAGTGTCTCCCTCTTCCCGCTTCCGCCCCCTTCTCCTCCCCCTCGCCCCCCCCCCACATGCACCAGTTCGTCAGTGTTTCTTTATTTTTACCCCACCTGCACCAGTGAGCCACTGAAGTAGGCCGATGCGATGCCGCCCACCGCAGCTGAGGCCCAACACAGCGACTGGAGCGAGCCGGCCACTGACTGGGGGGAGGTGAAGGGGGAGAAGAGGGGTGTCAAAGACCATAACGAACCATAGGAATGATGGGCCGGATGGGGCGGGTTCAACCAGCAACCCATGGCGAAGCCCCTACATGTAATGTCATACAGTTCGTCAATTTACTCCCTTCCACCCCCTCCCCACCCAAATTGCTTTGCCCTAACTTGTGGTCTCCTATGGTTTGGTGTGGTCTTCATGACCCCCACCTGGTGGTGCCCCCTCGCCCGCTCCACCACGATGCTGTCCACCACCACGTCACTGGCTGCCGTACCCAGCGACGCCAGCAGCATGGCGGCAACCGCACCCCGGCTGTCGTACACGCCGTACGACAGGGAACCCCAGGCCAGCGTGCCTGGGTGGCGGGGGGGGGAGGGTAGGGGGTAGGAAGGGTAGCGGGTAAGAAGGGTAGGTAGGGTAGGAAGGGTAGGGGGGTAGAGGTTGGCAAGGTAGAGGTGGGGGGTTTGGCGTTGAGACCGGAGGAGGAGGGGGAGACAAAGACTACAAGGGGCGTGCACCGCCGCTCCCCTTCCCTCCACTCCACACCCACCCACCCCACAACCCCACCTCCAATCCTCCCTCCCTCCCTCCACCCACCCCCCTCCTACCCATGATCCCGCACAGCACCAGGTAGGAGCGCCTGCGGTACCCGAACAGCGGTACGGAATCCGAGATGAAGCCGTACAGCGGTTTGATCATCCAGGGAATGCTGGACAGACCCGTTAGGAAGGCGACCTATGCAGGTGCGCATGGAGAGAGGGGGGGGGGGGGGGGCAGGGGAAGGGGAGAGGGGAGCCGTTAGGGAAGGAGAAAGGGCAGGCAGGGACGTGGCGTGTTTTGCGAATCACGTGCCAACCAGCTACACATAAGGAGGACACACATCCGGTCCTGAGAGGGCCAAACCTGTTGTGTAAGATCTCATGGTACATCCTTTGTAGCCTCGCCCCCCCCTCCTCCCTCCCGCAGACCCGCACCTCTGCGGGCTCCACGTGGAGCTCGTCCTTAAAGAAGTACGACACGGCTAATCGGGAGAGACCCAGGATGCCCTGAACGAAGTATACTGGGAGGGGAGGAGGTGGGAGGGAAGGGTGGGGATGCTGGGTAGCTGAGGCAGCGCGGCGGCAGGGTGTTTGGAAAGGGTGTTTGGAAAGGGCTTTCCTGGGTGCTGTGGAGGCTGCACACAGGCAAATGAGAGAGATGTCATGTCCAGCAGGTCGTGTGTGGGGTCATGGTCCTTTGCAGAGCCGCCCCATACGCCAAAGGTTGACCCTCGTTGACCATTGAGGGAAATGCCCCTTGCTGGGCGATGGAAAGCTGCAAGCCCGCCTTTCCTGGTATACATTAATGTGCCACAGGCCAACGCACCCATTGAAATGGCTATAAGTTCCGGCGAAGGGTCCAAGCCGAGGACCTTGAACTTCATCAACCGTTTAATGCCATCCCCTCGGCGCAGCCGCTGGAACAAGGACGGCTTAGGCATTTCGTCCATATCGTCGGCAGAGGGTCCGCTTCCTGATGTTGTTACATCGAACGCTTGCTTAGGGCCACTTGGGCCCGTCGGATGCTGCCTTGCGTGAATGGTTGCGCTGGAAGGATGTCGCGGTGCTTTGCTAGTGGCTACCGTTTTACGATCAGGTGGCAATTCCGGGCCTGGACTGGCTCCGCGCGGGCGAGTGCGCATAGCCCGGCGGTCACAACCTCGAAATGGTGCGGTGCAAGCGTTAGCCTTCTGCGGTGATTGGCCGGAATTTAAGCATACCGATTTCATAGCAACATTGAAGCGAATTAGGAAATGTCCTTAAAGCTTGGCAGTCCGCCCAAGGTAGCTTTCAGTTGGGAATTGAAGGCAGGCAGGTCAGTCGAATCCTGCAAGGTGACAGTCTTACTACGTCCCAGTATAATATTCCTTTCACGTTTGCCGCAGCGCACCGCCTGCACCACTCAACGAATTCCTACTCCTCCCATCACACCTACCATCTGCTGCACGTGGGTCCAAACCCCAGCCTTACTTCGTGCAAGTCCGGACCAAGTTCGAGCACGAATACACTATCAATTTTCCATACCAGCTCCATCTGTTAACGTCTCACCACGTCAGGCGCCGCACCGCTACTCGACATCATCTACAAACACCAGTCCGCTTGATCCAAGAACCCGGTAGGGACCAATCCTTCTCCGTGCCATTTACGATGCATGAAGCGCGACGGCAAGCCTCGGCAGGCAGGCTCAGAGATGGGCTGCCCAACCTCGCGAGCGGAAGTGGCAACGTACGGCACATAGCAGATATGGCGTACGGCACCACCCTACAGCTACAGCTACACAAGGCGTGTTTTGCTACCTGCCAGGGTATACTGCAGCCACCTACAACAGGCTGCGCAGGCCCAGATCGTCGTTTGCTGGGCAACCACACCGTTCAGCAGCTCCCGCCTACGTATCCCCCTTTTATGCGCTACCTGTCTGCACCGGAAACACCGCCCAAGCACTCGAGCACCTCATCTTACTCGGCAAAACTCCAACCAATCTTCCACTGCTTGCTCTTTGCACGGTTATCACCATTCCATCCCACATAGCCCATCCACTAGTCCTCCCACTCCTCCTACTGCCGTGTGACCCCTGCTGCGGCTACTTTACTGCTCCTCCCGCTCCTTCCGCCTTCCCCAGCACCCGTCCGCCCACCTCCGATGCGCCTGCTGGCACTCCGCCCCGCAGTACCCCACCCGCCCCCACCGCCCGCAGTACCCCACCCGGCCGCAGCAGCAGCAGCAGCACCGCCACTGCCACTGGCCGCTGTCGCCCATGCCCTCTCTTCCGCCCGTCGCACTGCCGCAGCCGCAGCACAGCAGCTTGCTGCTTGCGTAGGGCCCCGTTGTAGTCGTCCACGTCCGTGATGTACTGCAGTACAGCTCCAAGAAGCGGTACGACACCCACCTGCTCCGGCAAAAGAGCGACGAGGCGCTGCAACAATTCGTGTCCGTCATTCTGTCGTACGAACCGCCGCCGCCGTCACCCTGCTGCTGGCGGCAGTACCGCTCGTACGGCAGTCGCTCCTGGCCCACCAGACACTACCGTACGTTTTCGCATAGCGACCCCAGAAGCCATGCTGCCATCTCCGTGTTAAAACATTTAGACGTCGTGCAGCGGTGCAGGCTGCATGGATATGGACGACGTCTCCTAGGGAAGGCAGGAACGTCGGGATCGCAATCCTGAATGTGCGAGCTGGAGACCACTCACAAATGGGACGCTGGTTGCCAGCGAGATCCCGGAACACGTTGTGAAGGCGGGTCCTGCGCATACGCAGATGTACGAGAACCGCTGTGGTCCGCAGGGCGGGCAGGTAGGGAGGTGGGTCACATGGCTCGGTGCATGCGTGATTGGCTGGGAGATGAATGCTAATGCGCGTTGTCTTGCCCTGGGCGTGCGCAGCCCGCACAGCTTCCTAGTGGTGCGAAGAGGGCTGGAGGCGGGCCCAAACCTAGCATGCGTGCCGTGCTGAGGAGGTACGACCCCGAAAGGGTTCAGCAAGCGGGATAACGTGACACAGCGCTTTCCAGCAGGGCTCTTGCCGTACTTTGGCGCAGAAAATCGGCTGAGAAACACCCCCGCACGGCCCTACCCGGGCACGGCGAGGCCTTGCCGTACATCCAGACCGATCCTAGTATCGAAGGTGCAGCCCATGTCATCAGCCACCCTTGCGTCACTAGTCCAGTGGTTAGGATATTTGCCTTCCAAGCAAAAGAGCGGGGTTCGATTCCCCGGTGACGCATCGTGTCGACGTTTTGGCCGCGCTGAAAGGGTTAGCACGGGCCTTTTGTGGTGGCAGCGACCACAGCCGCATCAGGGGCTCGGCAATGAATGCGCCAGACGGCCTGTTTGGTGACGATATCATTCTCAGCGAGTCTAGAGCAACCCCCCCGCATCGTACAGCCCTCCCACAGACATGTGATGACGGGATTGCAGGAACGCGGGATCCAGGAACTGCGCAGGCGTAGCTGTACGTGAACCGGTGTCCGCCCTGAAAGGGCTTCGGGCTTTCAATGGCGGCAACGCTGCTCAGCGTTCCTCTGCTCCATAACACCATAAGGGAAAGGTATTGGCATGCGGATGTCGTACAGATATGGTCGGTTATTATTGCTTTTGCCACCTCGGGCCAATCACACGCGCGCCCTCTGCCTCTGCCTACATCCTAACACAGCCGTCATGTTTAAGACCGCTGGTAATGCCTAGCTCAGCCGACTCCCAAGGCTTACTTCCATGTTAACCCTGTCACTAAATCATGCAACTGCGGCGCCCTTTCAGCCAGCTAAGCAATAATATAAAATGCCGGAATGGATTGTCACTGCCAAGCTTGCTTAGAGATTTCGAAGACGCGGTGAAGAGCAGTTGTACGCACACCGGACTGTAGCGAACCTACAATCCCGTACACTCGCGTTATGTACACGATGATCACATTGACCACCGGTTCTTACTGAAACACGACGCAGTTACGCTTGAAGCCGTTGTTTACTGGTGAGCGAGGGGTTGCAGGATACAGGTGGTCCAACTACGACGGGGCAGCTTCGTGGAGTTTTGCCAGCCATCTTAGCTATCTGACTACCTACAGACAAACGCATCCTCGCATAGATCACAAATTCTCCGTTCGAACTAATTAAGCTCGTTACAATAGCAGTTTCTGGCCCATAGAAGTCACCAATGCGCACAGTAATCCAGCAAACTACGACTACCCGCACGAAGTTAGGGGAGTTTAAAGCTGGGAGATGGCGAAATACCGTTGGAAGGCCTCATAGACCGCTGGCTCGGTCGCCAACCCTCGGCTCGACGACGGTGCCATCGCCTAATCAGCAAAATGCTTATGTCTATGGAAGCACTATCCGACAAGCCTTGCTCGAGGGTAAGCTTGGTGCAAGCCGCTTCAAGGTAGTTGAAGCGTCGCCTGCCTCGCAATGCATGGCAGTTGCAAACATACAGTATTGTATCCTTTGTATGCCGCACACGACAACACATAATGACATATAATTTCTGTACCTTTCCGATCAAAAGAGGAGGAATATCTATTAAGAAGCCGCGAGGGCCCCTACCCGCCTGATGGGCTCTACATTGATGAATACGAGGGACCGGACGACCTGGGCTTTTGGCGAATGGAGATTGAGGACCAGGCAGAGTTTATATGCAACGAACTGGACCTAACGGATGACCAGGCTTTGTATCTCCTCAATGCTCTCGGGCTTCTACCAGAGGGGGCTTCAACAAGCAACTTCCGCCTAGGCCAGGAGGAGGAGGAGCAGCAACAGCAGGCATATGAGCTACACGGTAAGCACACCAAGAGAGTTAAGCAAAATGAAACTGGGAAAGGGCGGCAGTGAAGCGTGCTGAAGGTTAGGCAGCCCAGGCACGCCATGGATGCTACCCGGTACCTAACTGTGGATGACTGCACACACGGCTTCACGCTGTTAGCAATGAAGGACGTTCCTGCATACCAAGACCGGGAAAAGCCAGCTGACGCCTTCGGTTTCTCAGTGTTGTGGGTCTGTGTGTGTGATGGCTGATGGGTGTGTGGACAACAATTGCTCCTGCTGCGCTGTGGCTCCTGCCTTTGCAGCCTATCCCGCTGTAACTTGTTTTTGCATACCATTGTAAGCTGCGGCATGCCATGCAGAGCATGGGTCGTTGGAGGCACACGCATTCCGGGGCGTTTTGCCGCCCTCTCAGGTACGAACCGAGCGCTTTAAAAACGGGTACTGGCTTTCGTACCGGTATTTCGGTTAGCTGAGCCGCAGTGGACCATGCAGCCCGCCTTCTTGCTTGTCCCTACTGCTGCGTTGCCGCTGACTAAAGACCTGTACGGCATTCACGCCCGCCCTTAAACATAGGACACTCTCGGTGACATGGGCAAAGCTGATGACAAAGAGTACGACATGGCTTCTTCCGGTTGCGTTGCTGCTGCTGCTGCTGCTGCCTATGATGATGAAGACGGAGAGGCAGACGCAGAGCAGCAGGACGCTAGCAACAGCTTCTTGCTTGCGGAGAACTCCTGGCAGCAGCGGCAGCAGCAACAGCTGCTGCGCACGGCCGGGGATTCTTACGACGACTTCGAAGAAGTCACAAGCGATGACGACCGGACTGGTAGTGACGATGATGGAGATATCGCAGAAGAGCAGGGAAGAGGCCTGAAGGAAGGTGGCGGCGGACGGCATCTGTACGGGCATCCGTACGAATCCCACCAGCAGGCACATGGGCATCAGCATGGTGGGATGTACGGCGGAAGCGGCTACGGCAGCGACTTGGAAGGATACGGTGGAGGCGCGGAGGAGGTACGTACGTCGGGAGGCGTGGAGGGAGTTGCACGCTGGGGAAGGGTCTGGAGGGAAAGGAGTCGTGGGCGAGGGAAAGGGAGGATGGGAGGGGTTGCGGCAGGAAGGCAGGTGGCAAGGACTGTATGGGTGCAAAAGGGCTGCAGGGAAGGGGGCAGCAAGAGGTGGGGAAGCAGGGAGTTATGAGGGCATCTGGAGGGGACGGTAAGCGGCGGTTGGATCCTCCGCACCTGTGTGCCGCTGGCCATGCTACATCCCTAGAAGCAACCTAACACGCTTCACCGTTTCCCATTACAGACCGTTGACTCCACATCATTGTACGGCAGTGGCTTCAGCAGCCTAACGCCCGCGCCACACACAGCAGCAGCCACCTCCGATGGCAGCCCGGCCTTTCAAGTCAGCATTCGGCCCAACATCGCATTGGAGGCGAAACCCTCAGGTAATAAGCTACGACGTTAGCAGTGGTAAGCTGTGGTAAGCTGTAGGATACTAAGGAAGGAAGCTGCAGTAGGAAGCTGGCAGCAGTGTGCTGTCGACAGCCACTACTGTCCCAACCGGCCTACCTCCCGAAGCATGCACCTTGCACACCCATCCACCCACACGCCAAATGCCGGTGCCGTCCTACCCTCCGGACATACCCCCCTCGCTTCTCGAATGCCTCCTCTTGCTTTGCAGTCTCCTCGCATGTGATACCTTCTCCCATATCCCATGACGCCATGAGGCGGGATATGGGACTGGGGCTCCAGTTGCTCCACGTTCCATTCAGTCCTCCTCCCTTGTCCCGTCTCCTCCCACATCCGTCCTCTCCTGCTCCCTCCCCTCTCATGTTCCCCTCTCCTCTCATTTTCCCCTCTCCTCTCTTGCTCCCCTCTCCCTCGCCCCCCCCCACCCCCACCGCACAGGCCTGAAGGTGGCTCCCGGTGTGCCCGCTCTGCCGTACGACCAGATCTCGTTTGACCGCGACTACGAGGTCATCCAGCTGCGGGTCATCGGGCGGCGCGCCTCCACAGCCGCGGCCTCAGGCGACGAGATCGACCTGACGCCGGGGAGACTCATAGCGGGCAGGTGGGACTGCAGGGGGGGGGGAGAGGACCGGAAGGACGGAGAGGGGTAGCAACTCGGTAACCCTCGTCAGGCGAGCTCTTACTATTACGGTGTAACTTGACAGAAAGCCATACCGGTATGTAGTTCTGACATGCAGCCTCACCTCACCCTACCGTGCTGCTTTGTCTCGCGGAGATCTGTACGGCATACGGGCACGGCAAGCAGGGTGGGTACTTTGCCGCCACTGCCGCCTGGACCAATGGTTGTCGCCAGCCATTCATGGCTCTGACATGCATGTAGCCCCACCTTGCCTTGCCTCACTTTTCTGTTTAGAGGTTCCTGTACGACGAATGGATCCGAAATGAGTAAAATGAACATACTCTGCTCGGCTGATGCGTGTCCAGGTACCAAGTTCTGGAGCAGGTCGGGATGGCGGGCTTCAGTCGTGCAGTACAAGCGTACGACACATTGGAGCGGCGGTTGGTGTGCCTCAAGGTCGTCAAGGTGCGCGAATGCATGCCTGCTGCGTATGTATGTATGTATGTGTGCGAAGATAAAAACATGTGTACGCTAAGAAACCCGGCCGCGAGTCGGAACAAGGGTATGTGTATGGTATGCAGTTCGAATGGGATGCTCACAAAGAGGCTGGAGAAGGAGCTAGGGGAAAATGGCAGGGGCAAGGGGTGGTGAAGCGTGTGCTAAGAACATACACGCAGAACCGTGTCCTGCCGTGTTTGCACGTGCCCCCAATCCAATACCCTCTTTTCCCATCCCCGCTGTTGTATCCCACTCTTCTCTCCCCGCCGGGACTCCGTTGATGCATGTATCTATATTTTTCACCCCTCCCTCTTGCCTCTCCCTCTCCATCCCTTTCAGAACAGCAAGGAATGCATGGACGCGTGTTTAGAGGAAGTGCGGCTGCTGCAGCTGGTCAACGCACGCGACCCACACGACCAGCACCACATCGCTCGCATGTACGACTACTTCTACCACATGGTACGAGCGCGGCTGTGTGAGCGAAATTGGCGCCGAGTGTGTAAGCGCGCGCGTGTGTGTGTATGTACGGGTCCTACGGGAAGGGGTTGCATAGGGCTGCTGCGAGGCAAGGACGATGGTGAAGCCGCTAGCAGGGCTCATCAGTCCTCCCTCTCTTCCGGTAGCAGGCTTACCCTGGAGTCATGCAGGGCCCAGTCTGTAATAATGAGTTTCATGACATCATGCGCAGCGTATCATTTGCCGCACAGATGCGCATGCAACGGCTTGAAACGGCTGTTCCCACCCCCGGTATCATGAGACCAACTACCGTTTCATTCCCGCCCCCTGCTGCCGATGGAACCGCTGGGACCGCTGGGACCGACCCAAGGGTCACCTCTTTCTCGTGGTTGAGCTCCTGGGCGGCAACCTGTTCGACACGCAGTGCTACGACCCCACCTATTTCACCGCGGGGCGGCTGCAAAGCATTGCGCAGCAGGTGCTACGGGCGCTGGCCTTCCTGCACTCGCACCACATCATACACGCGGATGTAAAGTGAGGAAGAGGGGGGAAGAGGGAGAGAGGCAGGACGGGGACAGAGAGAAAGGAAGGGGACGAGCTGCATGACGAGGCTTCACCGGGGGGAGGGTGGGGTTGAAACGGGCCGCGAGTCGAACAACTAACGCTGACCCTGACCCTGGTTGTACCTGGCCCTGCCTTCCATCAGGCCTGAGAACATCCTCGTAAAGAACTACACAAAGTGAGTGTGTGGGGGTGGGAGCCGGAGGATGCAGGGAGGGGGAGGGGGTTCGTAGCTGTAGTCGCGTTCCTTGCCCATGCATGCGGCGGTGCAGCCAGAGAGCAAGGGCTCCAATCAGTCCGTGTCTGCCATACATGTTTGGAAAGGTTTGAGCTTTGCTGCTTACCCACCTCCCGCTCCCCTGAGCCACCACCTACGTCCATCCGAAAGAAGCGAGAGACGCACATCGTATCTCCCACCCCACGCGGTTCACCTGCGCCTGCTCTGCTCTGCCGGGAAAATGCATGCATGCATTCCCCGCCCCACCTCTCCCGACCCATCTGCCATCCCCAGATGTGCGGTGAAGCTGATCGACCTGGGCTGCTCCATCTACACCTCCGAGGCGCCCCGAAGCCACTACGTGCAGAGCAGGTCCTACCGAGCACCCGAGGTGAGGAGGCGGGTGCATGCAGGGGTGCGGCCGCAGATGCCGGGATAGGAAGCAAGTAAGGGAGGCCGGTAAGCATGGGCGCGTATGCATGGACGGGATTCCCCTACCTGGCTACCAGCGGCCTAGTCCATACGCCCGATACACTACAGTGTATTGCCGCTGCCCTTCTGACTGCCCTTCCTGCCTCCCCGCCCCGCCCCGTCCCCCGGCTGCATGCATGGGCATGCAGGTGATGCTAGGCCTGCCGTACGACGGCAAGATCGACGTTTGGTCTCTGGGCTGTGTGATGGCTGAGCTGGTGTCGGGGCAGGTGCTGTTCCCGGTGAGTGATAGCTGGCGGGGGAGCGAGTGGCGGGGTGAGGAGGAGGTTCCCTCGCCGCCGTCCTTACCGGTATTGTTTGGTACGGTTCCTTGCTGCCCTCATACCGGTACCTCTCAGTAACATTCGCCCGCCACCCCAACGCCTCAACCATGCCACGGCCCGTTTCGAACAGCAGCCCCATTGTAACCATTGTAACGGTCATTCATTTAGCCCCATCATACGGTAATCACACTACCCCTCTCCCTTTTTTCTCTCGTGCTTTACTTGCTTGGCCTTGTCCCGCTTGCCCCGTCCTCCCACCACACCCACCAGCACATGAGCGAGGCCTCCATGATAGCCCGCTTGGTGGGAATGCTGGGCCCGCTGCCGCCCCACATGCTGCGCGAGGGCACCTACGCCGGGGCGTTCTTCACGCGCTCGGGCTGCGTGTACGAACGCAGCGGCGACTCGGGGCTGTTTGAGGTGCGGTGCGAGGGCACGTAGCGGTAGTGACTGCCTGGATGGCAGCCTAGGATAGCCTCCTACCTGCACCCCGCCCGACCCCACCCGACCCTTCTTTCTGACTCCTTACCCATCCCGCCCCCCCTAGCTCCTGGAGCCCAAGCGCACCAGCCTGCAGGCCCGCCTGACCGCCTCTGCTGCTGCTGCTGCCGACCGGGGCCTGTCCTCCGCTGCCACTGCCGCCGCTGCCGACCGCGGGTTGCTCCACTTCATCCGACACCTGTTGGTGTCCGACCCCGCGCGGCGGCCCTCCGCACACCAAGCGCTGAAACACCCCTGGCTGCAATACCGCTACCGCAGCCCCAAGTGAGGTTGACCCTGATGAGGAGGGAGGTGGAGGGACGGTGTGGCCGGCGGCGGGGGCGGCGACGGTGGGGAGGACGGAGAGGGTGCATGAGCCATGGGGATAAATAACGGGCTAGGGTGTTTGCAGCATGCATGGCACGTTGCAGGGCGATGCAGGATGTGGGGAACGGCCCAGCGCTGGGGGTTACGATGGTATGCAGGTGTCGCTCGTCATCAGGTGTATGCGCAGGACAAGTAAGCTGCTGCCCGCTGTGATACATGAGTGCGTGTACGTTACCGTAATGCTAATCTGTATTTTATCTCCACCACCTGCTCTAGCCTCGCCAATTAAGGGAACTGTTGCTCCGGCTAGTTGGCTAGCCAATGCAGTACAGTGCAGTGCTGAGCTAAGGTGTGGTGTATACATAGCACGTGGGCGGATGCGTGTACTTTCACTAGTAGGTGATGAGTAAGTGAGAGGGCATGTGTACATTCTGCGCAGTGGGAAGCTGCCGTACGTTATCGTTGTTGCATGTTGGGGTAAATCACGCACCTGCCACAACCATTGCTTATCAATCAGGCCATGGGACGTTACGGAGAGATGCCTGACATGTTACAGGTTGTTGTAGGCTGTGTGGCAGGGTATGCATGTAGCAAGCAACAACACTGCGTGTAGTCGATGTAAAACCCTGTGGGCACGTGGTATGGTAATACCACTGAGTCTCAAGGTTAGGATTAACATTGACTATGGATGAAGGCCGCGTCACCATAGGCGTCATGGTGTGTATGAGGGTGCCCGGGGGGACGAGAAGAGCAGCATTGCATGCAAGCGTGTGCATGCAGATGCATTCTACGCAGGTTTGGCAACTGACGATCGAATTGCAAGCAGGGGTTAAGCTGCTGGTTGATTAGTTGGGGTTGGGGCTGCCGTGCTGCAATCCATCCTACCTAACACATGCATGCATGACCGGGGACCTGAATATGGTTTGAAATTGAATGCACTTGTGTGTGGCCGTTTGGCTGGGTAGCAATAAGCAATTTGTGGGTGGGCTTCACGTTAGTGTAAATAGAGGTGTAGTAGAGGTTATGTATAAGGTCAATCGTGGAGGTAGATAGGGTTGTTTTGCAATCGCATACAATGTTACAATCGCATTGCTCTCAGTAGGTGGCGGTGGTGAACTGTGGGTTTGGCTTGTGGCTTACCAAGACCGGCTGGGTGTGCATATAGAGTCTTATTATCTTTACCTTGACGAGTTGGCGAGTTGAACGACCGTCTGAGAGTATGAAGTTATACGTACGGCTGACCGGCTGATGAAGCTGGTCCCTGGTTGCATGCTGCCGCTAGGTAGTTGCGGTGCCCTGGGATGAAAGCTCATGTTACCGAGGTATGCGCAAGTGCGTTTGTTATGCAACGCTGAGGTATTGGAGCCAATGCATACATGGGAGTGAAGTAAGTGGGCTGGGGTTTCCTATTTTTGGTGAGGAGTAGATGCCTTGTCTTCTTCCCCTTTGCTTCATAAAGCTGCCGTGCCCTATGGTTGTGCATTTCACGGCTGGCGCTAGACTTTGTTCCACAGGGCAAATACAAGTACAACAATGTGGGCAGGTGCCGCGGTGCGGCACACTGATCGAAGACAAGCAAGGGTTTCAGCTTCTTCAGAGCGGGAAAGGAGCCCCTCCTGCTCAACACTGGAACGTTTTATGATCATTGGATTGTCACGGCATGCGCTCCTGTGACTCCATGGCACCAGTTGCCCTAACACACCTATAACGCTGAACACCCGCACCGTAAAGCCCAGACATGTGACGTGGGCGTTGTGGGTATGCATGGCTGGCAGGGAGGCGGGTCACATGGCCGCATGCATGCGCAGACGGCTAAGATGCAGGTCCTTTAGTCCTTTGCGCTTGCCCATGCACGCGCAGAGTGCGGCAGCGGCCAGGTCGAAACTGCTCGGTGCATGCGTGGATGGACGGCTGGGAGATGAGTGCTAACCGTGTACTAACAAGCCAAAACCGCTAGCATCACAAAGTATGACGGTGCACATGCTATGGCGTGACAGCTGTCACGCCCTAACGTGTGACATGGAACAAAACATGTGCGTATGGTTGACTCCCCCCCAGCGTGCGACCCAGATGTGGGACGCAAAGCTGGTTGAGTGGTGATGATAACTACTGCCATATGTCTCCTGGCCCCTCCTTTCGCTGTTGTTGGCATGCCGTATGTGGTCGAGCCGATCCCTTTAAGGAGACTTGGATGCCGCCTCATGCGGTCTCACGCACCCAAGCGTGCACTGCGCCGGACACAGTCTGCACCTTTGCTCCAGGCTGATCCTCGTACTCGGATGACCACCGCGCGGAGCGGAGCCGTCAAAGTGTGCAGGGCGGATCATTCACACCAAATCAATTGCCAACTAGCATGCAGGATGACCAGGTTAACAGCAATGACAAAGAGACAATGAAAGCGAAATGCGAGCTAAGCCTACACTTGCAATACAAAACTGGACAAATATCAACCATCAATCCTCACGACAAAGCGCTCCAAGCATTTGGCCCATCCGCGGCTCAGGCGTCAGCTCTGGCTCTGGCTCCGTTGGCTCTGGCTCTGGCGTTGACTCTGGCGTTTAGCACGGGCTCACGTGGCACTTGCTCGGTTATGGCCTCGGACGTCGTGGTGTCCATGTCGATCCAGCAGTCCGCTTGAGTTGGGCTTCGGTCTCCGTTGATGAACGATGGATGCTACACACGCACAATACGTACATGGGTAAAATGATAACGCCACCAAAAGACGCAAAGCGGACGCGTTGGTGTTGTAGACGTCGACTGGTAGGCGAAGAAGCAGTTGTCGATGGCACGGGAACGGGCAATGATCTTCCCAGCTGACACGGGCGATGGCGCGCCTAACTCTAGAGGTCGCTACCGATACAGCTGCTACCTATCCTAACGTACATGCCGTGCTCTGGGCTAAAGGCACGCGTAGAAGTCAGGCTAGCAGGATCACCGTTACAAGGCATCGTCTCGCATGTCGCACGACCCATTGAGTTTAACGTCCCATTGGGACGGGTCTGCTGTGTTGGTCTCAAGTCATACCCTAGAGATCAACGGAGACAACGCAACACGCGTTGTCGGCACTCTTATCTACCGCCAAAGGTACAAAAATACGACAGAACTGTGTAGAACCAGTCCCGCAAAAAGATCCAAAACAAAACCGCATCTTAACTGACCAAATCCACCCAACTAACAAGCCAAAACCGCTGGCATCACAAAGTATGACGGTGCACATGCTATGGCGTGACAGCTTGTCTTTCCCTTTGTGCATGCGCAGGCGGCGTGGTAGGGGATCCTAGCAAACTATGCATGCAGCGCACAGAGGGCTGGGACGCGAGCCCAGGTGTGGGCTGTGCACGCGCAGCAGGTTCCTGGAGGGCGGCACTGGAGTATCCGCACGTACCATGCGTGGCGTGCTGAGGAGGTACGACCCCGAAAGGGTCCAGCAAGCGGGATAACGTGACACAGCGCTTTCCAACAGGGCTCTTGCCGTACTTTGGCGCAGAAAACCGGCTGAGAAACACCCCCGCACGGCTCTACCCGGGCACGGCGAGGCCTTGCCGTACATCCAGACCGATCCTAGCATCGGATGTGCAGCCCATGTCATCAGCCATCTTTGCGTCACTAGTCCAGTGGTTAGGATATTTGCCTTCCAAGCAAAAGAGCGGGGTTCGCTTTCCCGGTGACGCATCGTCGACGTTTTGGCCGCGCTGACAGGGTTATAGCACTTTTGGTCAGGCAAGCCAGTGGGATAAAGGATGAGGGCTGAGCAACCGAACAATGCCCCGAGTGGGATGTGTGAAGGGGTGAGCCCGCATGGCCTGGCAAGCCAATGGGATAAGTGTGCGAAGGGAGGAGCCCGCAGTCGCCAAGGTATTCCGAACTAACGTGTGCTGTCATGGGCTTTGGGACCTTAATCCCCCCCCCCGAGGTGTTATCAGGAATTGGAATCCAGTATTCGGCTGCTAAACGCGCGCCAGTGAGGGAAAGAAAACCACCCTTTGCCTACGTGGTGTATCCGGAATTCGTTGGTGCGGTGTAGTAGCTAGCCCACGCCCCAGCGGCTACAAACGCAATTGCTGCTCTTTGGACGGTTCGCCTCGGTTGCAAACATGGACACTGCCCGCCCCCCCGCCCTTACACTGGACATAAGCATATTAAGCAGCGCCGGCTGTGCGACGTCTGCTTGCACTTTGGCAAATGGGTCCCGACCATGGTCGCCAACACTGCACCCCCCAAGCCAACAGTTTCTTCAAGAGAGTATGTCTAAAGACAAGGATATGAGAGCTGCTGTACTGCAGGTGATTCTGTGACCCATGAATATAGTCGTCACGAGTTTCAGTGCATAGTAAACTCCACTTGTACGCTGCAATGCGTCTATCTCACAACGTATTCAACACAGATTTAACAGTCGGCATACGTGTGGGCAAGGAAATCATGCACAGTTACAAAACGAAGCAAGTGGGTTGTTCGTTAGTGTCTGGGAAAAGCATAGCGGACGCACGCGGCCGTGAAGGCACTTTTATGAAAGGCTCTCCAATAAAGAACCATAATCAGTATACAATGACCTTCAAAGCAAAGCTTCCTGGTGCATGCCTATCGCCTCTGGCATAGATGTTGCTGACTCGCAATGGAGAAAAGAGCAGCAACAGCTGCACATGTGCCATGCGCAATTGTTACACATACACATGGGCCGAAAAGCGGTAATTGCAACGTGCTCTACCGTGGGAGACCCCGCCATGTGTAGGAGTGCACGGTTGATGGATGGGCGCCCGTTGCTGCTGCCTATCGAAACGCGAACAGCGTTGATTGCACAAGCACAATGCATGTGGCTGTTCTTGACGCACATGGGCCGGAAAGCGGTAATTGCAACGTGCTCTACCGTGGGAGACCCCGCCATGTGTAGGAGTGCACGGTTGATGGATGGGCGCCCGTTGCTGCTGCCTATCGAAACGCGAACAGCGTTGATTGCACAAGCACAATGCATGTGGCTGTTCTTGACGCACATGGGCCGAAAAGCGGTAATTGCAACGTGCTCTACCGTGGGAGACCCCGCCATGTGTAGGAGTGCACGGTTGATGGATGGGCGCCCGTTGCTGCTGCCTATCGAAACGCGAACAGCGTTGATTGCACAAGCACAATGCATGTGGCTGTTCTTGACGCACATGGGCCGGAAAGCGGTAATTGCAACGTGCTCTACCGTGGGAGACCCCGCCATGTGTAGGAGTGCACGGTTGATGGATGGGCGCCCGTTGCTGCTGCCTATCGAAAAGTGAACAGCGTTGATTGCACAAGCACAATGCATGTGGCTATCCTTGACGCACATGGGCCGGAAAGCGGTAATTGCAACGTGCTCTACCGTGGGAGACTTCGCTATGTGTTCCTAGGGCTTTTGCAAAGGGTTTACGGACCTGTTCAACACCTAAGCTTCCACATACTGCGCAAACCCCACTTATAACGTTGTGCGCATTGTTCAAAGGGGCACACACACACGTTAATGAAAATGCGACGATGATGAGAGAAGCCGACCAAGGAACGACGTCAGAACTACGTGGCTAGAATGAATGAATGACCGTTACAATGGTGCCCTAAAAGGGAACACGGGTGATGAACGGGTGGCTAGAAGTACCAAACATAGGTTTGCAGGCTCCGTGATGACAAAACTTAACAGGTTACGGCTGTGTGCTGCTTGTGCGCTAGCCGAAAGAACAACAACATGCAGGCCACATCACACAACAACCAGCACCCAGACACATGCCTTGCCGCCCCAACCTCCGCCGGCTTCTGAGGTTGATGCTTGGCAGGTTTTGGTTCCACGTTTGGGGTGGCAGTTGCCTCATGTTGGCGCCGTTCCTTTGAGGAATCTGTCGGTTCGGATGGCTACCGTTCTTCAGCTTGGGGGTGTGTTTGAGGAACGTGCTGTGTTGCATGCGGCTTTTATTCGGGAGGCCCTGGGGTTACCTGCTACCCAGCAGCTTCCTGAGGGTGTCTTGGATGGCCTTCGTGATTCTTTCCAGCGTCTTTGGTCGATTCGTTGGGAGAATGGTTTCAAGGAGGCGTTTTGGCGTCTTTCTATTGATGGGGTTCCCTTGCTGGGGAATTCTCATATGTCTAGGGCTCGTCCGGAATCTTGTGGTTGTGGGTCCGTTGTCTTGGGGGTGTCTCCGCGGTTGCATTTTTTCTGGGCTTGTCCTGTTGCTCGTGCTGTGGTTGAGCAGCTTGAGGTCACGCTGGGTGTTGCGGTTCCTCGGGCTGCCTTGTGGTTGGCGTTGCCTCCTTCGGGCGTGCAGCAGTGCGTTTGGGATGTTGTTGTTTTGGCTGCTTTGTCCGCTATGGAGGAGGGTCGGCGGTTGTTACGGGCTCGTGTACGGAAGTCCGGTTCTGCGGGTGTTGTGCCTGGGCTTGCTGATGTGGTGGCCCTGTCTGCTGTTTCCTGGTTCTGGGGTCAGCTTCGGGGTTTTGCTTGTTTGGGTGTTCCCCGTCGGGGATGGGCTGGGGTTGGCCCTTCTCATCCTTTCTTACGTATTGTTGGCGGGCGGTTTTCTGTGGGCCGTTGAGCGTCCTGTTTTTGGCCCTGATGTGGTGGTGTGTTCGTGGCTTCCGGTTTGGGTTGTCTTATGCCCTAGATGAGGTTTGTCGAGGTTTGCTGAGGGGCCCTTTTTGGCTTCTACCCTCTTGTTTCCCTCCTGAGGTTTCTTTTAGGGCTATGTCTCCCATCTTGTTGGCCCGTTGTGGTGCTGTCTCTACGGTTTGTTCCGTTTCTTTTGCAATGTAGGGTTGGGTTCATCACCCGTGTTCCCTTTTAGGGCACCATTGTAACGGTCATTCATTCATTCATTCTCAACTAACGTGCGGGTAACCACCCCTACGTCTGGGGGGAAGAAGGAAAGACCCCCCGTATACACCCAGGATTAGTCGAGGGGGGGGTTCGTAATAAGTCCCACGTCATTTCGGCTCCGTGGTAGACGTTATAGTTGCTTGGGCTGTTCCATCCCAACGAGAACGCGCAAAGGGTCAGCACCACCGAAGGGCGGAACGCTGCATGTTACCACCAATGCCTATGCGATGATGAACTTGCTGGGCTCGTGCAACCATATAGTAAGCACTCTTCGATCTGAAGGGCATAATATTGACAAGGCTGGATGACTTGTTAATCTCTCCATAGGCTATACTTCATTGGAGCTCCGAGCATGTGCGGGTATTTTGATATCGA